TGCATTTTGCCGTAAAAAGTCAATCATCTCTTCATGTTCGGCTATAGGCATTACGGAGCCAATCAGGAAGTATCTCTACTCTTTACCATCTACTAAGAACACCTTCTAGAGGTCCTCTATCGATCGGTCCATCGGGTCAGTCCAGGGGTCATCCACTCTTGGACGCCTGGACTGTGATTGTTATTTTTCCAGGATTTCCTCTGAGGCGCATCCCTTCTCTTGGGTGAAAACCCCCGCTCTCACAGCCGAGTAAAAACAGTTTTTTGCGGACGCTTGGTCCCCTCGGATCTCCATTATCTCCTCTGGTGTAGCAAACTTCAATTTCTGGTGGTAAGTGGAGTGCACCGCCCTCAGCGCATGCAACCAAGCTCGCGCCATGATCACATTGTAGGGGGAGTTCGTATTAATCACAACAAACTCAGTGTTGATGGTGAAGGGACCCGTGACGACAGGCAATGTAATTTTGCCAATGGGCAGGGCAAATGAGCCATTAAATCCGACGAGGGGCGTCCTAACCTTGGTGAGGTTCTTGAGGCCAAAGCCCATCCGCTTTAAGGTTTCTAAGTATATTACCTCTGAGGAACTCCCGGAATCTACCAACATCCTCTAGACGTCAAACTTGCCTATCTTCAGAGTTATGATTAGGGCGTTATTATGGGGGGTCACCACGCCTGCTAAGTCCGCGTCAGAGAACGTGATACTCGGTTCTCCAGTCCTGGCTCTCGTGCTAGGCTGGCCCCCATCGTTCTCGATAACCTTTCTCGTAAAGGCTACCCTTTTGAGATCGAACTCAAGCTCCCTGGATGTTGGATGATCCAGTGGACACACATGGATCACGTCTATGACGTTGTCTTGTGCCACGGTGGGGACAGAAACATGTCCCTCTTTCGACTTGGGTTCGATGTACTCTTTCAAGTAACCGTTCTGGACTAGCCTTTCCAAGAAAAATTTGTACACTCTGTAATCTTCGGTGTGATGGCCGAAATCCCATTGATAAGAGCACCTGACTTTTTGATCACGGGTGGAAGGATCACTCTGCATCCTAAGTAGCCACTTGAAGAATGACTCATGCTTGATTTTATAGAGCAACTTGTAGATGGGTTCTTTGAACACAGTGTGGACACCTTTAAATGACCCTCCTGGAGGGGGTACCAGCCTTTTTTGGGAGGTGTCCTCCCTCTCCTTTTTTTTCCTAGGGGCGAGAGTTTTTCCTTTGTCACCCCCATTTCATCTTCAATCCTGGAGTATTTGTTTATCCGGGCCATCAATTCGCCCATATCTAAGGGAGTCTTTTTAGTCAGGGATCGGTACAGGTCCGTGTCCCTTGCCAGGCCGAGCCTAAAGGATGCGACTGTCATGACTTTCGAACACCCCTCTACCTCATTGACCTTTTCCTAGTACTGAATGGCGTACTGGCGAAGGGTTTTCAGTTCCTTCCACTTGAGCATCAGTAATGATCCAATATCTTTGGGGCGCTTGCTCCCCATAATGAATCGGGCTAAAAATTACCTCGTCAACTCCTTCCATGACTCAATGTTGTTGGGAGGAAGAGTCTTGAACCGCTTCATAGCAGAATCTCCCAAACTCATAGAGAACACTTGGCAAAGGAGTCGTTGGTCCGAGTGATACAGGGACATCATTTGCTTGTATTGCCTGAGGTGAGGTTTGGGATCAGATTGCCCATCATAAGTTTTGAACCTTGACACGATGAACTTCTTTGGTAACTCCATCTCTCGAATATCCCTAGTAAAAGGGGATTGAATGGCCTCGTCTTTTGCGTCATCCTAGACAGCCTTGCCCATTCTTCTAGATTCCAGCCGAGCTCTAAGATCAGTTTCCACCTCAGGGGGATGTCCTCTGAGGTTTCTAAGGTCATTGACGGGATTCCCCTTCTCCGGGCGTCGTGTGAAAAGGGTTGAATCCTCCTCGGATTCGTCCCCCTTCCCCCGCCTGGACAGTCCTCGCCGAAGGTCGTCCCAAGCCAAAGGCCTTGCCTTCTTGGAATGACCATCGAGGGGGTGCTCATTGCCTCTTAGGCGCTTTGAGACCCTAGAACTCTCAGCTTTGTTGTTTAAATGATTCCTTAGGTCCTCGAATGGAGTGTCCGTGGGAACGGAATGAGTCCCTCGATCCTTCGTCAGGGGTTGCAAATTCGTTGAGCCGGCTTAGGACATTCACATTATCTTTTTTTAACTGCCGTAGTCGATTCCCAAACTTTTCTTCGATCACTTTCGCCAGTTGACGAGCCAAGGGGGCTGATCCCCTTGACCTAATGCCCATACTGGTTTGAGGAGTATGCCCCCTTGATTGAATAGAAACATTCCTATTGTCACCAGCGTGATCTCTCCCCCCACCATGATGAGGAGCTTGTAATTCGAGACTTCTTTGCTGGGGGCGTTTCCCTTTCTGTCAAGTATTCACCATAGTCACTGTTTTTTCTAGAAAAAGAAACTAGAAAACTAGTCATTTCCCACAGACGGTGCCAGATTGTGCGTGCACGTTCTTGCACAATATAAACACAAGAACAGATCTCTTTCATAGTGAACACGAGTCCGTCGATCGAGTGGTCAATCTTGCTACTTGGAATAGGTTGTGAGGGTCGAAGGTGGCCTAAGAAGTGGTGATGAATCATTTTTATGGGTTGCCTGACTGGTCCTGGGAGGCTAAGAGAGGTTCTTGGAATAGAGAAAAACAGGTTAGAAGGGCGCCAGAGTATTTTTCGGCATATCCCCTCTGACGATCAAGTCAGTTCTTTGAGAGAGGAGAAGAAGAAAACACTATCTGATCCTTGAGAAAGGATTTTTGCATCCCTTTTTAATGTGTTTGTGAGGATTATTTATACCTTACAAAACTCATCATTACTGACAGCGTAGCTAGTAGGTAATTATCAGAGGTGGGCAGTGTGCACACAAATTTCTATGAAAAATATCCTCATTCTTAACTGTTCGGGACCCCAAACAACTAATGCTTTCTCCTCGGTCTGCCAAGTGTTTAATGACCTTCTCTCGGCAGGGATGTATTAAATGTCAGGCATATGAACATTTATTACCCTTCACTTCTAGGCTCTTATGCATTAAATGTTGTCTCATCAAGGGAAGGATGCATTAAATGTCTACCCTTCCAAGTCGTGTGTCAGCAAGAACATTCTAGTCTTTTCGTCTCTGTCCTGACACAATGTGCCATGTGCTCATTCCCCTTTGGTTGAGCCTTCTGCTTTCTTGTGCCTCCTGACACCATTTGAGTAGGACGATGTTGTGATGGCTAGTCTAGCCTAGCCTAGGCTAGTAATCTGTCACTCAATAGCCCCTGTAGGAGCAGAAATGCCCACGTGGATAGATACACCTCAGTGCTGACGGACTAGCATTATTAAGGACCAATATACACAAACTGACCGAGGGATACGTGTCGGTCCATGACTTATTGGGGATCCTTGATCCCTGTGAATAGTATCATCTGGGAAGGGGTTTACAGACCGATGAGAATGTGTCGGGATCACAACAGAGAGTCTCCATTGGTGTCAAGTACACGTGTCGTCATCTTGGTGTGTCTAAAAATGTCCCATCACAATAGTTAGAGGGAGTTTATCTTCTTTGTGGTGCAATCCCACTGAAAGGTTTATTTGATTGACCCTTATGTGGTCACATAGGTTTTGTTCTCCTAGTGTGACACAATTACGAGTACTTGGTTTGTACTGTTTGATTTTCAATTTTGGTTTGTTCAAGATATTTATAAGTTGTGAATACTTGCTTGGTTATACATTTGTTTTGATGCTGAAATATTTTTGTGATACGCTATATATCTCTAAAAGTATGTTTAATGCCAATTACTGTGAAATGTTACGCTATTTTCAAAACCATGTTTATGGCAGAGTTTGGTTAATCTATTGAGCATGTGGTTGCTTATCCTATGAAATTTATTCTTTTTTTAGTGGTATGGTACAGNGTCGGAAGATCATTTAGGTACACTCGACACTCTGGTGCCGGTTTTCGCAAGGTTTTACAGCAAGTTCCTTCAATTGTGTTAACAATTTCTTGTATGATTGATAATGTATTGCGTTCCGAAGAGCAACCCAAGCCAGCCAAACCTAAGCTCTTTGGGGTTGTTGTGAGATAGAGTTCTTGAATGGTCTACAGGGTTATGTGCTTCACCATGTCAGAAGCCTTCTTCTACGAGTACAATTGTACAGAAGATTAAAAAAAANTCAATTAATGCAATAGATCCACCGACTCAGAAGTGACCAGTTTATACTCGAAACATCAATAACGTTCTCATGACATAAGGGGCGTTACAAGTGACATGCTTGGGAAATCTGGGGCATCGTAAATAGATATCAAAGCTATTAAGTGATGTTACAAGTTAATATCAGAGCTATCAATTGATGTGCCCGTGAGAGTCGGGGTGTGAAATGAACAATGCAAGGCGTCTAGGAAGTCTCAAATCCTTGATCATGAGGAATAAAAGAACCTTAGATTTATCCCTTACTATCTACTACAATCCCCTATAAAATCATCGATGTAACACCTATACATCAGTTCCAGCCTAGTAAGATCTTGTGTTTGGATTTAGGCTCATGTGAGCCCTGACATGCATGTGCTTGCAAAAATCCAAATCTATGACCAAACACTGCCTACCAAGTGACTACTCCAACACCACTAATCTGTTTCCTTTCTTGGCCTGGAAAAATCAGTATTCGAGAAATACAATCCTTTGAGTACTCTTCTATAGAGAGTGCGAATTATTAGCCAGTCTCCTATGAAAACACAATTAATTTTAGCGTTTCACAATAGCAAAATGCACATATTTGTCTCTATATAATTCAATTTAATGATGATTAGTGATTTTTCTAATCATAATTTTCTGAGGACAACAACGAAAGTTATTGGCTTGATCTCTTCTATAGCCATTTCTTCATCCACCAATCTTCCCTAATGCTCAAACAAATTGTCTAAAATATATTCTCCAAAATGGTGGCAAATCATTGATTCTTGGATGGCCCTTACTGTCATTGCAACAGTCATTCCATAGGTCGAACCATGCTCAGAATCACTTTCTATTTCAAACAATTCGAGCCTGTTCATTTCAAAAGAACCCTGTCTTCTCACTTCGTCTTGTAATTCATCTTTGGATGGTGCATAGATATGAACTTCATAAGAATCAAGCTTTTCCCTCTCAATTTCTCCCTACACAGTAGCAGAACTGTGTGTCAAGTCATTAAAATAAAAATACACCTTAATGTTTGAACAATTGAATACTATTACCACCGGAGAAACTAAAATGAAGAAGGATTGAGACAGTAGTCCCCAGAAGAATGCATTACCTTTGTCAACATGATTCGGACCTCTCTTCCCAACAAGATCAGGACCATCCGTCCTCCACTAATTAGCTCTTTAGACCGCGATTGAAGGAACAAAGAGAAATCCTCCTGGAATTGGCTAAAGTATGCCTGGGTGACCTATCTAGGACTGGATTCAGATATGTTAATGCTGCCTTTGTTTATTGACGTCCCTTCCTTGTCATAAAGAGCTGCAGGAACCAACAGAACATGGTGATTACTAGCTTATAATCATCAATTTCAGTTTAGACAAGAACACATCCTATTTGCCAACTTGGTGCCTGACGTTTTCTCAAAGCAGCGAAAATTAATAGCGAGCTAAGGTTATTCAACTCCAATACAGAAATAACCAAGCAGTCATCATTCTTATGTAAGGCACAAGATTTTAGTNGCCAGCCAAACCTAAGCTCTTTGGGGTTGTTGTGAGATAGAGTTCTTGAATGGTCTACAGGGTTATGTGCTTCACCATGTCAGAAGCCTTCTTCTACGAGTACAATTGTACAGAAGATTAAAAAAAAAGTAATACATTAACATTGATAACAAGAGGACTTGCATGCGTGTGTATATACGTAAATGTATTAATGTATTTATCGTATGTGTGTGTGTGAGAGAGAGAGAGAGAGGGACCTGAAGGGAAGAATTTTGGGCATAGCTACTCTCACCAGCTCCCTCATTCATGTGGAAGCCTTTTTGGACATCCATAGTGGTGCGAGTTGGGATTTTGAACTCGTGCAACTTGGGCGGGCTAACCCAATTTTAACCCTAGCTCAACCCAAAAAAATTAGGCTTTGGGCTACGGTTTTTAATATTGGGTTGGGCTTGGTCAAAAAACTCCAACTCAAATTTAATTTGGGCGGGCCTTGGGTTGAAGATCAGGTTCACGGGTTAAACCTGAATTAATACTATATAAATACAATTTTATCCTAGGGTTACTATCTAGTCTGGGCCTCCCTCCCGCAGGACCCTCACTCACTCTCACTCTCAGATCTATCTCAGCCCTCTCTCAATCTCTTTCTGAAGGAGTCTTTCGTCTTCGTCAAAGTCTTAGCCCTCTCAGCCTCCTTCATCTCCGGCTCTCTCTCTCAAAGTCTCAGCCTCCTTCGTTATCTCAGATCAAATCTCAAAAATTTAGATCAAAAACTCAGATCAAATCTCATAGCAGATCTACTATCTACGACTCTCCCTTCATCGATCTCAGATCAAGTATGCAATTTTCATTTTTATTTTCACATTTTCATAGTTAATTTTTTCAGAGTTAATTTTGAGACCTCTTTTCACTCTCAGGTGTAAATTTGTCAGAGTTAATTTTTAGAGTTTATTTTCACTCTCAGATGCAATTTTCTACGCCTCTTTTCCAACCAACTATGACATTAAACTTTTTGTCCTCTTTTGATCCTTTTTTTCACAGTCAAATGATGCATTAAGAATTTATTTGGAAGTATATCAATCTAAAATTATTTTTTTTAGATTTTATTCAACTCTAATATTTCACTTTTAGCTGCATAAATTAATCATTTTTCTGTTCTTTGATTTTATGGCACCTTAAATCAATACATGTCACTAATGGGGGAGACGGAGACAAATGCTGAATCTCTGGCTAATCTTGCATCTAAGCCTGCTTAAGCAGTGAACTCTATGTTTGTGCAAAGATTCTAATTGTGTTTATTTGTGTTCTGTATGGTTGTAGTTATATTATCTCAAACATTGAGTTCTTAATATTATGGTTTTTATGTTAAAAACTTGAATGAAGTTATTTGTTGTTAATTTAGATGAATATTATGTAATATATGTATCAGTTTTAGTCCAAACCGTTTAGAACAACAAGTTTATTTTGGGCTTAACCTGAACTCAACTTGAATTAAACTTGTAAATTAAATCAAAATCAGCCCGAAATTATTAACCCGAATTTAACCTAATCCCGCCTGAATTAAACTCGGACAGTTCTCGGGTTGAGTCCCTCAACTAGAGTTAAGGTTAGAGTTAGAGTTAGGGCTGAAGATTATACACTTAGAGTTAGACTAGGGTTGACTGTCCAACCCACCCAACATGCCTCAGGTGCGCCTTTACCTAGAGGTCCCCTTGTAAAGGCATGTCTCCTCCAATGATCTGATATGTTAAGGCACATTTTGGTGGATTACATTATGTTATGGAAAAAATAATTTTTTGATGTCATATTTTTTTGACTAATGAGAAAATGACAAATGTAAAGTTTGATTATTTTATTAATTTTCTATTTATTATTTTTGTTATTAATGACTTTAAATATTTCAACACATAATAATAGTGCCAAAAAGTCCAGTAAACAGATGACTGTATAGAAGAACCAATCAAAGAACATTTTCAGCTGGTTAATTCTGGTGGTGGCTGAACTTTGTCAAGTTGAGCACTATGAATATTATAATCGGGACTTGACTACTGCAATGCTAAAAAAATTTCGGAATCAAACCTTCAATATTTATTACTTCAAAAAGTATATTTATATTTTTTGCGGGTTATTTTATAACTAAAATATTTACCACTTTTATAGTTGATTTATCACTTTTGTGGCTATTTTTACCATTATTGTGAGATTTTTTATTACATTTGTAATAACTATTATTATCATTTTTCTTTAATATAAAAAAAAATTTACAACTTTTATGAGTGATTTATCAGAATTGTGGATATTTTTATGACATTTATGAATTTTTTATTATTGTTGTGATAATTATTTTTATTATTTTTAAAAATATTTTAACAGTAATAAAAATACTCATAAATATAATAAAAGTAATCATAAATATAACAAATAGAGGTATGGTCTCAAAAAAAAAAAAATTTNCTAACCCAATTTTAACCCTAGCTCAACCCAAAAAAATTAGGCTTTGGGCTACGGTTTTTAATATTGGGTTGGGCTTGGTCAAAAAACTCCAACTCAAATTTAATTTGGGCGGGCCTTGGGTTGAAGATCAGGTTCACGGGTTAAACCTGAATTAATACTATATAAATACAATTTTATCCTAGGGTTACTATCTAGTCTGGGCCTCCCTCCCGCAGGACCCTCACTCACTCTCACTCTCAGATCTATCTCAGCCCTCTCTCAATCTCTTTCTGAAGGAGTCTTTCGTCTTCGTCAAAGTCTTAGCCCTCTCAGCCTCCTTCATCTCCGGCTCTCTCTCTCAAAGTCTCAGCCTCCTTCGTTATCTCAGATCAAATCTCAAAAATTTAGATCAAAAACTCAGATCAAATCTCATAGCAGATCTACTATCTACGACTCTCCCTTCATCGATCTCAGATCAAGTATGCAATTTTCATTTTTATTTTCACATTTTCATAGTTAATTTTTTCAGAGTTAATTTTGAGACCTCTTTTCACTCTCAGGTGTAAAATTTTCAGAGTTTATTTTTAGAGTTTATTTTCACTCTCAAATGCAATTTTCTACGCCTCTTTTCCAACCAACTATGACATTAAACTTTTTGTCCTCTTTTGATCCTTTTTTTCACAGTCAAATGATGCATTAAGAATTTATTTGGAAGTATATCAGTCTAAAATTATTTTTTTAGATTTTGTTCAACTCTAATATTTCACTTTTAGCTGCATAAATTAATCATTTTTCTGTTCTTTGATTTTATGGCACCTTAAATCAATACATGTCACTAATGGGGGAGACGGAGACAAATGCTGAATCTCTGGCTAATCTTGCATCTAAGCCTGCTTAAGCAGTGAACTCTATGTTTGTGCAAAGATTCTAATTGTGTTTATTTGTGTTCTGTATGGTTGTAGTTATATTATCTCAAACATTGAGTTCTTAATATTATGGTTTTTATGTTAAAAACTTGAATGAAGTTATTTGTTGTTAATTTAGATGAATATTATGTAATATATGTATCAGTTTTAGTCCAAACCGTTTAGAACAACAAATTTATTTTGGGCTTAACCTGAACTCAACTTGAATTAAACCTGTAAATTAACTCAAAATCAGCCCAAAATTATTAAATCGAATTCAACCTAACCCCGCCTGAATTAAACTTGGACAGTTCTCGGGTTGAGTCCCTCAACTAGAGTTAAGGTTAGAGTTAGGGTTGAAGATTATACACTTAGAGTTAGACTAGGGTTGACTGTCCAACCCGCCCAACATGCTCCAGGTGCGCCCTTACCTAGAGGTCCCCTTGTAAAGGCATGTCTCCTCCAATGATCTGATACTTAAGGCACATTTTGGTGGATTACATTATGTTATGGAAAAAATAATTTTTTGATGTCATATTTTTTTGACTAATGAGAAAATGACAAATGTAAAGTTTGATTATTTTATTAATTTTCTATTTATTATTTTTGTTATTAATGACTTTAAATATTTCAACACATAATAATAGTACCAAAAAGTCCAGTAAACAGATGACTGTATAGAAGAACCAATCAAAGAACATTTTCAGCTGGTTAATTCTTGTGGTGGCTGAACTTTGTCAAGTTGAGCACTATGAATATTATAATCGGGACTTGACTACTGCAATGCTAAAAAAATTTCGGAATCAAACCTTCAAAATTTATTACTTCAAAAAGTATATTTATATTTTTTGCGGGTTATTTTATAACTAAAATATTTACCACTTTTATAGTTGATTTATCACTTTTGTGGCTATTTTTACCATTATTGTGAGATTTTTTATTACATTTGTAATAACTATTATTATCATTTTTCTTTAATATAAAAAAAAATTTACAACTTTTATGAGTGATTTATCAGAATTGTGGATATTTTTATGACATTTATGAATTTTTTATTATTGTTGTGATAATTATTTTTATTATTTTTAAAAATATTTTAACAGTAATAAAAATACTCATAAATATAATAAAAGTAATCATAAATATAACAAATAGAGGTATGGTCTCAAAAAAAAAAAAATTTTTGGTACAGTGGTCAACCCCCGATAATCTTGGTCTGCCTCCTGTCCAATGAACCCTTTTNATAAATAGAGGTATGGTCTCAAAAAAAAAAAAATTTGGTACAGTGGTCAACCCCCGATAATCTTGGTCTGCCTCCTGTCCAATGAACCCTTTTCCAATTTTCATTATTGTGAAGTAACCAATTAAGAAGTGTTCATTTATGG